AGGTGTCCTGTGACTGTCCTAAGGAGGTCGCAATGTCAGGTAAATCCAGAACCGGATGCCGCCCACCATGTGTCTCCCTAGCGGATTAATGCAGCTCCACTTGAGAGTAAAGGTGGATTAAATCAAGTTTGGAAAACTCTTGGCCGCCAGACAGAGTTGCGCATAGGTCATGTATCCGCGGAATAGGGTAGTATTCTGACGTTGCTTGGTTAACAGTTAATTTGTAGTCGCCACAGACACGAACTGTGTCATCGAGTTTACTGTACTGGAACAATCGGTGTGGCCTAAGATGAATGGTGTACTGACGATACTATCCCATCATTTTGGAGGCACTCCAACTTTCGGACGGACAGCAAAAGGCACGCTCCTTACTATGAAAAAGTTCGGCTGTATTCCGTGTGATATTGAAAGAAAGTTTGAAAGCACGCAGTTTACCCGGCAAGCATACATTCTCAACAATGAAGGCACGTTTGGAATATGGTCCATTCTTCCGACGGTTTGAAATAATTCCGGCATATGTTCGGGTCAGTTGCTGCCAAGAAAGTTCGGGCTATTAGTGCTAAGAAAATTTAATGGAAAGGTGAAAGTGTCGGTCCCATGAGTAACCTTTACATCACACATCCGCAGCCCATCGAATGATTCACCAGTATAAGAACGCAAAATAGACTGTGTCGGGACCAGCGGTAGGTCGAGCAGTGTGGCATTGTTGACAAACGTGACTGTGGTCTACGTATCGATTCCTAGGCGCACATGTTGGCCTTCATTCTCCAATTCCACAGTGTATCTCGTGCATATGCGATGTGGTAATAGGTGGATTCAACTAAGATATGCACTCATCGGAATTCTCTACTGTCCGGACAGTATTTAGTGTAGGGTGAACAACGGGACGTGGAAGCGCTGATTAATCGCAAACATTCGCGAGATGTCCGATCTTGCCGCACTTGTTTGAGTCTACCCTGTCATGTCTTTCGCTACACCTGTAGAACAAAAAGGAGTGCTTGGAGTTCGGTGACAATCTAAGTTAGACCGTGTGCATTACGTCTGAAGGGTGGTCTTGTTGGTGATATATTAATTATCAAACCACACTTCATTGTCTAACCAATGTGCATGCAGCTTTTCAGATAAGCTTGATTTCGTCTTAAGAGAGTGGTGTTCTCGCGAATACCAATCAGTAGACATTTGAAAAGTTTAGGTTATTTTAATTTCGTGGGCAGTACAGTTCCGTTCAGTTGATCAACTATGATCCGAGCATCAAAGTGCGGTGGATCCAGCTGCCACGAGTCACATCGCAAGAATAACAAGCAATAACAAAGGTAAGAGATTATGGTTAAAAGCAAACAGAATGCAAAGAAAATGGAAGCAAGGGGAAAGTGCGATAAACTAAGCAGAATGGGACGAAAATTAACAAGTATGTGCAAGAAACCGAATGTAGGAACGCCATTGGCTTCCTGACTGCGATATGTCTGACACGGTCTCCAACCATTGGTGTGGACCGTCCCAAGGCCCCCTTCAAGAAGACGGCACGCACCAGCCTGACCAAGTCTCGCAGTCAATTTCTTCATCCCACTATACCACATCATCGACTGACCACCTCGCGGTTTCGCCCATGTTGGTGCAGCCACGGCGTATAATGCACGCCGAAGAAGCCGGAAAACGGACATACGGAGGACATGGCTAAATCAACGTAAGCGATTAATATTCAGCAAACACTCCAGTGAGGAACCAGAAAGCTTCGTGCCAAAAACCAACTTTTGGGCCTCAGCATTGTTCACCCCGTGTTCCCACCAAACGTGAGCAATACTCCGCAAGCACCGGTGATCAAACACAGCCAAGAGTTTAATGTCTTCACCTTGAACTGAGCAGGTCTCTGATCCATACAGTAAGACCGGTATTACCGCAGCGTTATACACCCTACCTTTCGCTGAAATGTCGATATCTCGCCATCTCTATAGATGGTTGTGTCTCTAGAAAGCCACATGAGCCTTGCGGCAGCTTTCAAGTGGAGGAAAACCACCAACCTCAGTCGTCTGAATGTGTGCCTCTGCTCTAACCCTTGGCAAGGAGTAAATTTGTGGTCGAAGCAACAACGACCAGGACGGAAGCCAGTCTGGCTTTCAGTGATTTAGTCCTCACGGGACCAGTAAATCGTCGGAGAATGATCCCCGTGAGGAGTTTGGATGCAATGGAAACAAGGCTGATGCCTCGATGATTTTCGCACAAAGTACGCTGACCCTTCTTGTAGATGGGCACGACAGTTGACAGTCGCCAGTCTGTAGGCACTTCTTCACTGTTCCAAATCGTGTTAAACATAGTAGCGAGTGCAGTCAACAAAGGATGATCACCAGCTTTCAGCAAAGATGGAAGACGGTCGTCCGATCCAAGATCGTTATTAAAAAATTTCATGGGGAGGAGCTTAGTATAACGTCAATCAGGCAGGGACTGCTGTATGCGCGGTATAAATTTGTTGGCACATTCTTCTTCTCCTTGCCGTAGTTAGGAATAATTCAGTCGTGCAGTAAGCACGTGTTGTTGCACGCCCAAAATCCTATTTGGAGCTTTCAGTCTGACAGAAATATTTTTGTACAATCGTAGCGCATCGAAATGCCTGACTCTCTGTGCTAAGATGTTGTCGCAAGAATTTAACAGAATGGTACTCAGGAACACTGATGCGAAGATTTGCAAGTCTGAATAACTCAAGATAGGAACAAAACGTTCGCTTCCACCGATTCCAAACTGCAACTGATAACTTGGAAGTAGTTTCTTTCCAAAAAGGATCAGATGGAATAAGATGACTCATAACGAATAAATCCAGGTAGACTCCGTCTACAATGTTAAAGTCTACGCGTGCGGAACTAACGTAAGGTTCGCGAATGCAGTATGTCTCGTAGCCGAGCCGATGCAAATGAAATAAAACACCCTGAGCCGATCGTACGCGTTGTGTATTGCGACAAGAACCATGTACAATGCATCCACACGTAGTTGGTAATAACTCGTCAATGAGTGGGTGAGCGACAGACAGAGCTTCACGCACATAAACATGGACAGTCAATGCTGAGTGTGTGAACATCTGGCTGGTGATAGTGATTCATAAGCTACCTGTAGCAGCTACCGGAGTCATATCACAAGCCCCGACAGTACAAAGTGATCGTAAGACGTCCGGTCCAACGCCGTCAAGGGGAGCTGCGGCTGCTCTGAAAACCATTGATAGATGAAATCATCATACCTGTTCCAATTAAGGTAAGCTACATCGCATGAGTCAACTTGCTAGTTGACGTCCAGATTTGGAAGAAAGCCGAAAGACCATGATCATGATACACCGGAAGCAATTTAACTCAGCAGTGGACTCCGTAGCTCCATAGGTCCACGTCAGCCGTTCCTCTGCCCTACGCCAGAGAATCGTAAAATTCTATAGTTTAGGAAACCCCAAGACCTAGCACCTCACAGAAATCATATGCACCCACAACACATGGTCGGGATGTGAAGCGAACTAAACGACAAAATTGGGCCGATGTGTGCCGTCCGTGTAGCTCGTTTCATATTCTGATGGGGTTCTGACGGAGCCTGTACTACATGCAGAAAGTCGGTCCAGTTTTGGGGTCACGTTTGACAGACGTTCTGTTTTATTTGTAACGTTGGCAACATTTGTAACACCGCATGGAGCTCTTCGCAGCCTTCAGCAACATCTGAAGATGCACAGTAAAAGTTTTTTCTCACTTACATAAAATTCCACATTTCAATCCTTAAAAATTGCAACAGGCACAGGAGACAGGTTTACATCAATGTGTGTGTAGTATGCTAAAACACAAAATCACCGCCATACACCACTACGACGGTGAATTTGCAGTGTTGGCTCGTTGGCCCTAGTTAAGAAGTTCGGTCTCTTTTCTGGTAAGACTAAATATACTCCGAGGCAACGGATCAGAATAACAGGCAAAGATTGTCACCGTCACTGAAATCCGGACTTATCTCCCAAGATCACACGTGTACTTCAAGGAAGCTCAGATGGAGAGCAAGCAGCAGCTATCGACCGAGGCGACAGGGGAAGCGAGTAGTAAAGTTGTAAGACGGGATGGAGCTTTATCGGTGAGAAGGTTACGCAAAACCAAATCTGAGAGGATAATTCCAACAGGGAAATTATGGGTGGCTATCAGCCAGATGATAAGTGACTGGACATGCCAGAAAATACGGCAAGTGTGGTGAACACATCTCACTGACCAAATCGTTAAGCACCAAAAAACCCTGATAGCTAAGTCCAATAGACCGAGCAGCGTTGGAAAACGCAAGAAGGGTCTGACGGTAGTAAATGGAAGATGGTGAAAGGAGTTTAGAAGCTTACAGAAAGCCGACAATCAAGGTAACCCAGTGAAGGAAAAGTTAAACAATGGGTAGTGAAGGGAAAAGAACTTCCGATAAACTGAGCCCAGTACCTCTGAGCTCAATAGGTCATACAGATGAATGTCAGTCAAAACGTGGATCGATAAAAAGACACGACCAAAGGGGCTAACGATGATCGGAATGAACTGAAATCAGAGACCATAAAATTACAATGCAAACATGTGTCGGTTGATCGATCCCACTGAGTACTGAAGCGGAATCTGAACTCAGACGGCGTTTTACATTGGAGAGAAACGCAGTGGGCTTCACCACAAAGACAGGATCCTATTGTATGCCTCTGGGAACTGGTCACACATTCTAGAGCATGGTGAATTCTAACGGTCTCATGGTGAGCGATGGCCATAATAACGAATGGCAGGATGTGTCTGTGGTTTGGTATAAGGGACATCATTCCAAAGAAGAGGCAAGCTACCAAATAAAACGCAGCTAGTTTGTCGCGAAAGTTGGAGACAAAATCCATGGTTAACTTTGGTGCACATCGTGGATGCATTTAAGCCAAAAACAAAGTGCACGAATCGGTGGTTACAAACTACAGAACCCGGTTGGAAAAGGGTATGTTCACAGTATGGAATAGGATATACTTCCGTGGGTACAACTGAACTTACTCGCAAGGTGCAACTCAGACGGTTTGGTCTCAGGTCTTGAACCAACATTGCCTGAGATAAGTCGATGATCAAAAAAAGGTGTCGAATCTGGAGGAAAGTGTGAGATGAAGATGGGCGATTATGGTGAAGTCGAAAAGAGCCGTGACTCGAATTACATGCAGCCGCAAATCGCAAAGTAGATGGGTAGTAGTATGTGACACGTGTTCACCATTCAAAGAGGGAGAAACAAAGACAAGAAAAAGTATGTGAGACGCGAGATATTCACGATTAGGGTGAGATTGAGAGGAAATCGCCAATGTCAATCTAACAAGTAATTGATCGGTGAAAAGCAATGGAAATATGGCTCAAACCTTCCGGAGAACGAGAGGAAATTCTGTACGCGGTCTAACAAGATTCAGTAAGTCAGTCATTCGGTGAAGACTTGATCGAACTGTAGGGTGGGATGGAATAACGGCGAATAGACCGCCAAGAATTTCCAACAGACCTTTCCTATGGTGTCCGGAGACTAAGTGAGGAGGAATCACGATGAAAACAAAAGGACAACAATCCCCTAGCAACTCAAAAGCATCGTCTTGGAATTGAACAGTGCTCGTCAAAATGGAAAAACGTTGTGGTCAGTTCGTGAAATGTTCAATTAGCGTACGCTAACCTAATTAGATGCAGCGACGATCAAAATCGGAAGCGCAAGCAACTAAAACTGTCTTGTTGGAATTATGAAGGAAGCACGTGAGTTGCGTATGAAATAGACTTTCCTGAAAAAGTTAATCATTTACTGATAAAGTGGTAAATAAATCAATGTTGACATGAACAGGTCTCGGCGGCCAACCCAAAGGTGGGTGGCTTTAGAATTCAACAAACAGAAAAGCCCCTCTTTATTTTACCGAAGGGTCCGGTAGTTTAAATTAACAGGACAATCCATGGAAAGTGTGCAAGTAGTGAAGAAAGGATATTCTCGGTCTTTTTGATGCAATCATAAACTAGACTTGTCCGTTGCAGCGTGATTCCAAATGGCACCGGTGATGCACAGCGGTTGATGTGGGTTCGGGTAATGAAAAAACAAAAGTGATTATCACATCGCAAAGAGGGATAAACAAAAAAGTAGAATTTAAAACAGTAAATGCCTTTCAGTAGTTTGAACAACGAAATGAGGAGACAAATACTTGAAGATGCTAGCATTTCGTATTATGTCGTCAGGACCAAGAGAATAAAGTGGAAATCTGTTGATGTCTCATAGGGCACAGTCAAGCCAATCAAATTCATGGTTGTGGTCATTATTGTTGGCACTAGGACCACAGCAACCGCACATTGACAACAAATTGCTTTTAGACACATAAAGCTGATCTAATTCGGCTTATCACGACGGCCTCGGCAAATCGCAAAAGACGCGAAGCTGTGTGATGCAATAAGATCCGGAACGCCGATATAGGATTAATCCGATGACGAGTCGCCAAAATGTGCCTGCCTATGGAGGACGCCGACGGCTTACTAGAACACGTATCGTCGGAGAGGTATCGATTAACTAAGCGCTGAACCCAGTTTGGTAATTGTTCCTTTACTCTGAAATCCAAAACCCGTTCGGTTCTGTTGATGTAACTGATACCGCAGTCACACACTAACTGGTAAACACAATATGATTTGGCGCCGACGGGTTCGTCTTTCTTTAATGAAGGTAACAGCAACTTTCGGGCTCTGTTGATAATCACCGCCGCGGTAACACAGTACGTAGCCGAATGGCCGAGAAGATGCGTTTAGTTGTTCTTCTTGTTGCGGTGTTTTCCTTGAATAGTAGCTCGATGTATAGCTTTTTCTTTGGGGATGTCAACGCCATTTCGTTAAGCGGTACAACCTGTCTATTCTCCAAAGCGTTTTAGTGGTTAGCTCAATCTCCTCAGCCAGGCAGTCGTTGGAGCAGATACATATGGCCCGAGTGAATAATGTTTTTACCAGCGCGCGTTTGTGTGCCAACGGTGAAACGTTGGTGAAGTGTAGATATTGGCCGGATCATGTTGTCTTCCGGTATACCGACCCTTTAATGAGCCCATTATCTATGCGACTCATGAGAATGTCAAGTTATGGAAGACGCTCATACGATTTGAATTCAAGTCACCTTCAGGTTGGCTTGAACACTAGTAAGTTGGTCTACTAATCGTTCGATTTGCATCCACGTGAAGCTACAAAGATGGCCACGCGGAAGCTAATTGCAGCCACTGCTTCCAAATCAGCAAGTTTTGTGACTCTAACCATTCAGACCAAAGTTGTTTCTTTATCCCCCGCTCAATCCGCATCGTACTACACTTGCTGTGATGTCGTGCTGATTGGCTTCACTGCCGCATCTTGTGTACAGCATAGTTGACTACCTGAACTGGGCTAGAGGCATTGAATAAATAAACCGGAAACCATTTAGTTGCAACTGCACCTTCGATCTGGCAGTGAACGAAAGCATGAAAATTGGTGACAAGCAACAAATGTCCGCCGACAAAGAATGTTCACGGTCAGCCACATTGTTGTGCAGTCAAAAACCGGCAGCCTACAAAAAAGTAGTGTACAGTAATGTAACGGCTAAACAGAACAAAAGCAGCAGATGCCTGGAAGAAGAAATCAAGAAACGATAGCTGTTGTGGAGTGGTGTGGTGATAAAAAAAGGTGAACAAGTGTGATCTTTGGAGCAAATTCTCACGAGAAAGTGCTTCACAAATTTGAAAAAGAACCTACGGATGCAGTGAAGGGGAGGTGGACAAAAAGAATCCGTCTGGTTTGATATTGTTTACTCAACAAACTGCTGACAGTTAGCCAGGCAGTGCACAAAAGTCAAATGAGTGAGTTTATGAACTCAGTGATTTGCAAGCAGAAGGACGAACATGTGCCTCTTGTTGCATTAAAAGATTACTCTGTGTGGGCACTTTTAACAGTCGCTCGAGGATAATTAAGAACCAACACCTGGGAAAAGATACGAAACACCGTTCGTTTTCGTTCTACTAACTCCCCAAGACAGATGAAAATCGAGGTTAGAGACAGACCAAAAGCAGTTACTGAATGGTTCGTTTGTGGGAGCGCGTTGAGAGGAGTAGAGTTGGATGAAACCGCAAAGTAATATACGACTTACCATTCCAAGGCGAATGAATCCATCCACCTTCAAACCAGTGCGCTGTCGTTTCTTCCTCAACGCTGAATGCGCGTTGTAGACAAACTTTTCCAGGGTGCTCACCAGGTGGCCAGTGTCGTCCTCGAGTATGTTGTTCCTGTGAGAGTTGCGATAAAGTGGTGTGGAAAAAGGATGCGTCAAGCGTATGTAATGCGAAACAATCTAAAACCCAAGAAAGGTCAAGAAATATCGACAAACTTCCGTTTCGGTGTACAATGAAGCATGAACAACCGAATACTGATAACAGAGAGCGATAAGATAAAGATCGGTGTTGCCCCATCGTAGGTGGATCGGGCACATGCGCAGAATCACGTCGCCGATTCCTGTGCGGCGGTAGCACATTGCAGTTGCACTACACCTTATCTGGGTGTGATACGCTCCTTATACCTGCAGTCCACAAAGTGCGTCTCAAGGAAGCTCCTAAATTCCGACACCAATTTCGCCTCGACTAGCATCTCCGGCAATCTCTTCCAATATTTCACCACTCAAAGCTTGAACCATAGAAAATAAGCGAGGTGCTTTAAATCCGATACCACTAGTTTGTATCGATATCCACGTGTGCTGCTTGGTGCGCGAACATGCAGTAACGGCTTCAACATATCGAAGTGTCCTAGGTGCAGTATCCGGTGCGTCATAATGAGATCAACTCGAAGCCGACGATATGACAGGGTACAAAGCCCTAGTCTCCTACATCGGTCCTCATACGACATACCCCGTAAACTGGGGATGAACCGGGTAGCTACATGCTGGACCCGTTCCAGTCTCTCATCATCACCATCATTACACGTTAGCTGGAGGTGGAAAACACCTCAGCTATTGTGCCGCAATACAAAAGGCAAGAAAAGAAGAAAAACAAACAGTGGCACGCCCGCTGAGTCCCCAGTAACGGATGGACATCGTTCCGGAGAGCTAACAGCTGGCTGCCGTAAAAGAAAGTCATATTATGCCTAACGATTGAGATCGTGATTGGAGGGGGATGCTAAACAGGAGGGGGATGGACAAAGGAACTCACAACACAAACGCCATTGGGGCGGGCTCTTCGCCACATCAGCAAGTGTGTCCAACCAAACGTGTTCACCGTCCTTAGGACCCCAGCCAGGCAGTCGGGATGCAAATATCGACGCCAACTTCGAAGTGAGGGTTTTCATTTCTCTCGACCAATTCATCACGGCCTCTCCTCCTCCTCTTCCAACCGCACCCACAACACGCAAACAATGCACGTCGCGGGAGTCGGTGTGCTGGCATGCGCAACACGTGGCCCAGCCATCGGAGCCTGGTGCGTGATATAATGGTGCTGAGCGGTTCACTCGCTCTTCCTGCACCAAATACATGACGCCGAACACGCTCATTGCTCACGCGGTGTTCCCACAAGACATGAGCTAAGCTGCGAAGGCAGCGATGATCGAATGTGACGAGTCTCTTCATGTCTGTCGACCGGATGGGCCAGGTTTCACAGCCATATAGGAAAGTTGAACGGACGGCTGCGTTGTAAACTGTGCCCTTCAGGGCGAGAGTAATGTCGCGTCTGTGCCACAGGTGGCGGAGATTGGCAAAGCACCTCGAGCTTTTGCTATACGGTTCGTAACCTCATTTTCAATCCCACGGGTGCTAATATAGCTGCCCAGGTACTTAAATTCCTGAACGACGTCTAGCAGATCACCACCAAGCGTTAGCGCAGGGTTGGGTCTCTGCCAAGCTTGGAGAAGTACTTTGCATTTCGATGGAGCAAAGCATAGCCCAAAACGATTGACAGCAGTGCCAATCGGTCCAGTGCTGTTTGGCATGCTTGGGAGCTGTCACAGATTAGGGCAATATCGTCTGCATACTCCAAATCAAGAAGTCGCTCACCAGGGAGTAGCTCCACACCTTCTATGTCGTGTCCAGCGAACGCTGTTTCCATGACTTCATCAATAGCGAAGTTGAAGAGGAAAGGCGACAGCGGGCATCCTTGTGTTCCAGTCTCTGCATCTCACCTATTGTGATAGGACAATAGCCAGGTGAGCCGTACTCAGCAAAACTATGACAACCACATTTCGGAGACAATGCAATGTGACCGACCGAATCTAGAAGGATAGTAGTATCACTCCGGACGAAGCTACTCCGTGCCCAAATTAACAGAGTCGTGCACAGAAACGGTTGAGGTAATTCATGAGCGGTTGATAGAGCGATAGCAAGGGGCATGGACAACAGCAGTGAGCCGGAATATCGCACCGACGCTTCACCGCACGAGACTATCAACAGCCCGTGCTAGAGATAGGGAGAGGTCGCCCGCACTTATGTGGAATCAAATCAGTGGCCGGTAGACAATAGACCAGACGATGCCTGAAGCACGTGGCCATCGACCCAGGTTGTAGTACAAAAGCTGAAAGCAGTAATCTCCGCTCACACCCAAGGAAGACAATCAAAATAACGCAAAAGACTGTTAACAAATGAGTGTGGTGGAGATGAACTCTACTTTTAAGACCACTCCCTGTCAGCCCTGCTTCGTAGAAGTTGAACGCCTACATGGTAAGCCTTCAGATACCTACCAACGGTACAAAGGTATCATGATTATCGTCATTGACTCCATCATCGAGCAGTTCAGTCTACTGAGTCGGTTCAACAGAGTGCACTAGCTGATAAAATGCACTTTGAGAAGAAGGACGGCAATAAACTGCCAACTCTGGACGTGCGAATTCTAAAACATGGGTGGATTAGAAGTTGGTGTTACACACACGTTGTTCTATCATTCTACACGTTAGCTAGAGGTGAGTAAGATGCCACAGTTGCGCCGCAATACATTTTAACCAGACGGAATGGCTGAGTAAAAACGTCACACAAAAAAGAATCTTGTGCGGTGCAACGACGACATGATGGTGGTCGGCCTGGGAGAGCGAAGAATATGGCGAGGGACAAGGAAACTCACTATGAGGTCGACACTTCGCTATCACAACAAGTGTATCCAACCGAACGTGCTCATGGTTTTTCGAATCCAAACCGGGGAGTCGATAGGCTCCAACTGATGCCTATTTCCAAGTGTGAGCTTTCATTCCTCCTGACCATGTCTTCCTTTTTGTCCCTTTAAATTCTAGTAGTACAAACAACGCACCTCGCTGGAGCCGGTGTATTGGTGTGAAATCACAGTGTTGGATCACTTGCTCTTCCCGCGTCATAAACAAGACACTCGTTTTTCACACAGTGCTCCCGACAGATATGAGCAAAACTACGAAAATATCGGTGGAAGGTAACCAACCTATTTATGTCCCTCGATCTGATGGACCAAGTTCCGCAACCGTGCAGGAGAGTTGAACGGAAGATTGTACCGTAGATTCTACCTTTCCTAGCGTGCGCGATGTCACGCTGGCGCCACATATGCAGCCAAGTGAATACTGTATTATAGAGCAAGTAGAAATGAATTCTGCACAACTCGTACGAAATAAGGTGAAAACATTATAAAAATTGTCAGCTGTGAATATGGCAATTGTTCTCATGCGACACTGAACATATTTGACTCACGGTATTCCAGGACTCACAAACGTGAAATGTCATCGTGGGTGTACAATCGTTCTCTGAATCGAATAGTGGTAAAACCTAAATCTAACAACGTTTTGGAGTGTTGCACAGATGTTGCCTCCATCACAGGTTCAGGCAAACTGTTCCAAATATTTACCACTCTCCGTACGAAGCACAGTGGGTGGGGAACGTGCTTCCCATCCGGCACGACAAGTTTGTATCTGTGTCCGCAAGTGCTGCATAGTCCTCGTAAGTGCAGCGTTCGCCTCAGCATGGGGAAGTCACCGAAATGTAGAATACAGGTCATAATGAGGTCCATTCGCACCCGACGGTAGGAAGGGTGTATAGGTGTATAGTCCTAGTTTTTCGCACCGATCTTCATACACCAAGCCACGTAAACTCGGGATGAGCCTGGTAGTAACGTGTTGGACCCGTTCGATCTTTTGTGTCTCACCTCGAATAATCGGAAGGTAGGCGAGCCAACCGTACTCTAGCATTGGTCTAATAATGGAAGAGAAGAGGCGAGTGGCAACCTCTTCAGACCATGTGTCGAAGCTATGTTTGAGCGCCAAAAGCATGCGCAGTCCGTTACGATATAGCCTGTCAGTGTTGTCCACGGACTTCAAATCGTAGCGCGAGAGTACAATTAGGTCCTTCACGGAGGGCGTGGGATATAGCGATTGGCCGTCAGCACCCTACTCCAGGCTCGTAAATACAGACTTGGCTGGGTTGACCGGGAGATGCAGACCATGCGAATAGGCCATTGAAGTTTTGCTGAAGTAGGCCACAGTCGTCAAGAGCGTCAATTTCTCTCCAAATCTTCATGCCGTCCGCAAATAAGACACACGGCGACCGGAGAAGCTGAGGTAGATCGTTGATGTGGATCAAGAACAGATTGGGCCCCAGCACAGTGCCTTGAGGCGCGCCACTTGTAGAGGGATACCAGTCAGATAAATGGTCGTCCACCTGTACCCTCTACTTTCGTCCAATAAGAAAGTCGCGGATCCACCGGTGCAGTGAGCCAGCGACATGGCACATCCTGAGTTTGTGAAAGAGAAGCTTTCGGCTGACCTTGTCGAACACTTTACTGAATTCGATGAATATCATGTCGACAGACTTCCCCTTGCTTATTACCTTCAACCGCTCATGCCTCGTCACAAGCAAGTTTGTATTGCATGAGCGGCCTTGCATAAAACCGTGCTGTGCGGTCATCAGAACCCATTTTGACTGTAGCAACTATAGCAATCCCTTCTTCACGATTTTCTCAGCAACCTTTGCTAAAATAAGTGTCAGACAAATTGGCCTGTAGTTATCTACTTTGCTAGGGTCGCCGCCTTTCGGAATAGGCTTCATCACCGAACATTTCCAGTCAATCGGCAACGAACCTTCAGACAGCGACCTGTTGAAAAGATCAGTCACGACAGGAGAGATGATGGTCGAAATTGACTTGAGAATCCGTGGGTGAAGCCCAT